CATATGTATAACGACGAATAAATAAATTATTATCCACAAAATGATAGCTGGTATCATCTACTGCTACAGTAGTCACTAGACTACCAGTAATAGTATCATATATTCTTAGTATGTAATACAGTATAGATACTCTATCATCAACTGTAGGAGCAGTCCATGTTATATCAATAGTAGAACAGTTGTCAATTGAAGAGTCAATGTTAGTAACTGGACCAAGAAAACCTAACAAAGAGAAGGATTAAATCAAAGAATATACAATGTAATAGTTCATTATTACCAAATCCAAAAGAAGGTGTAGGTAGATATTCTCCTCCATTATTACTCAGTGATACATTAACAATAAATGTATTTAAATTATTAGGTACAGTTATTACTCCAGTAATCATCAGTTGATCATTAACTTGTGTTGGTATACTGGTACTGCTTATTACTGCATTATCAGTATTCAGTATATACTAACTGTTATACTATTAGGATACTCTCCTTTACATAGTGTACTGACCTATGTTTGAATGAGTGTGTGTAGCAATAGCTCAAACTAATGTTATGTCAACAGTAATCATTTGCTATGCATGCATTTCCTGTTAGTTTACTATTGAGCTTATAGTAAATATACTTACATCAATACTGATATTCAATGATATTAGTTGTCCATCAATTACTGGTACCACTGATACAGGAGGAGTAATGAGAGGAACTGAAAGATACACTGTGAACATATACATGAAGCCATAGTAATGCTAACCTGTTTCATAATAAAAACTGATATTATTAGATGAACCTATTCCAACATCATTAATAGGAGAAACTGATACATTATTTAATATACAAGGATCAGGATTGGTAGCTGATAATATAATACTCTTGTTAGTAGTAGTAATGTTCACTAATCCATTGACTATATAGTATCCAGTGATAGGTACATTATCCAGTGTATAAGGAGCTGTCCATGTTAATAATACACTGAATCCATTAATAAAGGTATAATCCAGATAAAAAACAACACTATCCAATAGACCTGAAGGAGAAATGATGAATAATGTCACAGTCACAATTAAGTGCTAACCTTGTATCATTAATATTGCTGTATCACTGAACACTACCTGAAGAGGTTCATCAGTACTAGCTCTACACTTCACTTCAGTATTATTATTATATTCATAAGCTATTGCTTGTAGCACTGCTCTTCTAGTACCATCATTATCAGTTGATGTGGCACTAAATCCTTTAGCTATAACAGCTCCATCATCTGCTGGTGTATTATTAACTCTGAAACTAAGTTCATCACCAGTTCCTTCACAAGAGAAGACAACAGTAGAGTTGAGTGTTGTATTAATAGACACTGGCTGAAATGTTATTTCTGTAAGGAATGAGAAGTGGATTCTATTAATTACTTCTTACCTGCACTATAAATAAACTGGAAAAGTTGCAAGAAGAATATCTGAAGCAGCATTTCACTCTGCATAGTGGGCGTGCCACTATGACTGGTCTAATTGATTATTTAAAATTAAAAAAAATTAAATCCTTTTAAAATTATAACCCATAAATTAAACAACAAATTGATTAAGAGCAATATCAGAGGGAGGGACAGGATCGGGTATTCTTGCTTTAGTAAAAGGTAGACACCAAAGCCACATTGGACCTGTAATTAAAATAATAACTAATTAATAATAACCATTAATAACTGACCACGCCCACACACTGCTGTAATTAAACTCATTTTAGATTCCTTTGGTTTGCCGACAGGACGACCATATCTCTTCACTTCAAATGTTATATTGCACAATACTGCTAGTATCTAAATGGAGGATGTACATGTACATGTACATTATGTGAATGTAATACAATGTGTGAATTACTATTATTTTTACTTGTGATGTTAGCATTCCGTTAACAAAGAAAGTAAATAAAGCATCAATGATGAACAAACTAAATGTTAATAAATGTT